TTGCTCCGTTTGCGTGGTACAGTAGGAATGAACGTGAGGAACAAAAATATTAAATGTCAATTACTCTTATTGTTTACTATTATATTTATTATTTATTTATTTATTTATTTATTATTGTTATTATATCTATTATTATTTTACTTACTTTTTTAAAAAAAATTTTTAAACAAAATTATTTCAAATACCAAGATTAATTTTTTTATAGACAATAATATATAATATTGACATATTTAGAAAAATTAAATTTTAATGGATAATTTTTTTCTTTATTCTTTATCAACTATAGTTTATTCCTAAAAAGACTATTTTTAGAGAAAAAATTTGGTTTTTTTATTTCTAATGATTTAAAATTTTATGCTTCTTTTCCCAAATTTTTCACTTTGATAATTTATTTTAAAAAATCCTAAAACATTTTTTAAAAAATTGGCTTTTAGAAATAAACTACAGTCAATAAAAAATGTTTTCTTTAATTATTTAATGTTTCTATGACCGTCAATATGAATCCGGGTTTAACAAAGCAATACAAATAAATTGCTGTCTCTATATAGAAAACGTCCTTATATATTTAATTATCACTTCAATGTAAACGATAGTAAACAGACATAGGATAAGTGCGCTAATTATTGCCGCAGATGCTTAAATTTCTGCGCGTTTGTGAAATAAGTCATTATTTATCACTTAAGAAAATATTAATGTTTTAAAAATGTTGAGAAAATTATTTTGAACAATTTTTAATACAATTTTCTTTAAAGCTATACATTTAAAATAAAAGTACTTTATTTTAAGTTGCTATGGACAAAATGATATTTAAATGCATATTATTTTGGCCTCAGAAACTGAACGCGCTCGCACAGCTCTACTGACTGCAGGTAGTCATGGTAACACATAAGAGTAAGAGAGTCAGAAAATTCATATTAAATGTTTTTTCTCCCTTACTCTTATTGCTCCTGCCTGCGCAGGCAGGCAGGCAGTAGAGGTGAGAGAGCAGAGCTGGGTAAAATGGTTTTTCATATCTATTTAAAATACAAAACGCCAAATAGGTTCATAAAACCTATTTAAAATGGAAAATGATTTTCTGTTTCTTATTTAAAATGAAAAATGCAAAATGTGTATTTAAAATAGATTAACATAAAATGCAAAATGGTTTTTTAAATTTTTATTATAAAATCTGTATTATGTTGACAGTTTAAAAAAAAATACCGTACCACGGTCAAAATTGTAAGTCCATCCATTTTCAAGAAAATAAAAAAAGTTTTTAAAAATAAAATTTATGAAAACTAAAATTTGTTTCGACATATGGTTTGAAAGATGATAAAATCCACGTGAAACGATTATACGGAAACCGCTCTACGGAAATTTCATACGAAATTCCGTAAAGAATTCCGTAAATGTTTCCGTACGGAATTCCGTGAAGAATTTCCGTACGGAATTTGCGTTCGTAATTTCTGAAAATATTCTATATTGTACATTTTTAAAGAGTTTTAAATAACTTTTAAAAAACTGTTACCAACTCTAAGAAAAAAAATCTTTTAATATTTTCCTGTTTAATTCAGAATGTTATTTACGATTTTATTGAGTTTGTAAAAATTACTTTGAGATAACTTTATGACACAATTTTAATTAAATGTTTAAATAGTAATTAAACACATTTTACAAAAATAACATTATTTATTGCATTAATTGCTACTTAATTAATTACACCTTACTTTTAACTTTTATATCTTAACATTTATTAATACACAAAATAACAATATATATATATATATATATATATATATATATATATATATATATATATATATATATATATATATATATATATATATAACAATATATATATATATATATTAATTTAAACCAAATTTGCATCATATTGAGAAAAACATTTACATATTCTGTCGAATTACAAATAAAACTTGAAAGTACATTTTTATCTAATTTGTTCATCAGTCAGTTCCATCACTGTTCGTAGGGTTCTTATATCGTTATTTGTTAGATTATATTGTGTTGGAGGTCCCATCAGTTCAGGTTCGTTAAACTTATGCGGTCTTTCTGTGTTTATTAAGAATCTAATTGTTTTATAGGCATTTACAATTTTAATAGTATTAAATAGTTCAACGTCAATTTTGTTTGACCCATGAGCTAAACGAAGCAATTCTCCAATTTCCATCTTCAGAAGAAAATGCTGACCAAACCCACAATGGACCCCACAATCTTACAAAATGAGTAACGTGGAGAAGTTGGTGCACGTTGTACAAACATCTATTACGGCCATAAAGCTTCTCCATATCCAGTACAAAAAGATAAAGTAAAATTTCAGCCAAATTTAACTCTTCGTGAGTGATTTCACTTTTACATAGAATGTGCACAGCTTTTGAAAGCAATAAGAAATGTTCATAATAAACCATTACCAATCTGCCCTTTAGTACAATTGGTCCATAATAGAGCAAGAAGGCTCTAAACTGTGAGGCTTTTCAATCACTTAACCGGTTCAGTTTTCCTGGTGTTCGAGTTATATTGTCTGGAGGTGATATTGCTCCTAAATCTTTGTCGATGGTAGTTAAGATCTCTGGTTTTAAATAGTAATCTTCCTCGTGATTTTTGCTCGAACACCACAGAAGTAAAAGCAATTTCATCACTCCTAATAGAATGGCACGCATGTACTCAGGCACAAATCCCGTTGCCCTATCAAAGTGTGGTATTTCAGAAACAATTGATTTCCCCTTGACACCTCTAAAATTAATTAACTGATAGAATCTACTGACGATGGTTTCCTGTATTTTCATGCGATCGTTTGTCCGCAAAGGTGGATCTTTTGCAAGTATAGGAAATACTTTATTAGTTCCCGAGCCAACTTCAGTTGTTTCTCCTGGGTGCTCACAAGCAGCGCAACCGTATTCTCCATTGTACTGCATTGTGTTTTGTACGGAAGCCTTTGCAGGAGCATCTAAGCAAGCTATAGGAGCAATAGCTTTACTTCGAATTGTTCGTTTCAATGTCGGATGATACCATTCTATTCCATTTGCGTACAAGTTTTGCATAGCCTTAGCAAAGGGAAGTAAGTATGAATTCATTAATGGTTTTTGATTGGTACGGTTGCAGTAATATAACCCGCGTACGAACTAAAAACTCCTTCTGTGCTTCTCCTTCTGTGTGTGACTTCAAAAGCATCTTTTAATATTGATTCCAAAGAGTACTCCAAAAAAAAACTTTGAAGATCATCACTATAACATTGTTCACATCTCTCAGCTGAAGGTTCTTCCAACCACACCCCTATGTAATTGCAGCATTGAGAGCAAATTCGATGTTTAATGACAACGTTCTCTTGTGAATGAGGTAATATTTTATCTACTATTTTCAGAAGCATGTGTTTCGATTTTGGAAGAATATGATCAGCAGGTAGAAGAAAATTTAAGGTGTCTAATACATAGCTTAAAGCTTTCTTTGTCATTTTATTTTCAACATAAAGTTTCAGAATTCGCAGCAAAGCATCTCCACCACTCACAGTAGAATTTTCATAAATCGGTTCCGTCAGAAATTCGTGTGTTATGTTAAATTGATCATTATGTATATCGTCTAACGAAACTGATGAAATCGATGAAACGTTTGATATTTCGTCATCAGTTGTAATGTTGACGTTGTCAACTTCGAAAGGCACTAATGACAACGATGAACCGAATTCGGTAGATGATGAAGGTGACAACGACAGTAATGATCCTGTACTTTCATTTGGCTGACTCGAAGATGATGAAAAAGTATCGGACAACGATGTCTGATATACAACTTGGTCAGAAGTTGAAGGCAATGATGACAACGTCAGCAATGATCCAGTAGTTTCATTTGATCCAGATAATGATACTAAGGAAGCAGCGGATAGCGATGATTCAAATACATCAGAAAACTCCTCAATTTCTACATCATCAGTTTTAACATCAGACTCTGATATCTATAAAGACATTTTTTATGTGAAGAACTTCTATGAAACAATCCAAATATATGTAGGAGAGCGTTCGCAAATGATGTCACGCAGTTTTTTGAAATTTTCACCCCCCCTATGTCATGCAAAATCATACGTGAAAAATACACTGTGTCACATTTAATAGAGACCCCCTACTCCCAAAAGCGTGACATAATTTGTGAACGTTATCTATAGATATATAACGTATCGTCAAATCATCTATTTCCATTTCTTCAATGTTATCTTCCATATTGATAAAAGTTCCAAACTTGTATCCATGTAATCTAATTAAAAATTATATACATATATTTATGAGAATATTAGATGCAGGTAGCTATTACATTATAATTAATGAATATATATTGAATTATTTATTATTAATTATTAAGTATTATTTATTTAATTTTTTGACTTGTTTCGCTTTTTATTTAAAAACTTCTGACTTTTTAATTTCTTATGAGAAGAAAAAATATAGTATTATGTATATTTTGTTAAATCTTGCAAATAACTAAAAAACGAAAATAATTTAATATTAATAATTAATAAAATATTTCTTAATCAAAATTATAGTTTTCTAAAAAGTTCTGGAATAATTGTAAGGTTTAAAAATTATGCATTGATTAGAAAAATTAAACTTTTATAATTTATACCTTAAAATAATATTTCGATAATAAAAATGTAGCTTTTCTTATATTGCGTAATTTCACAGATTATTAATCACGTTTTTTTGTAAATGGAAGAATAGATTTGACATTCGATACGAAATAATCAATTCATATAAAAAATGAAGTTCTAAAACTAACTTCGTCTTATTGAAAACACTAATAGTTGTCATTTTGCATTCTAACCAACTGACAACAAACATTTTATCAAAATGTCAGATACTTTATATTTAATAAGTGCAGTTGACGGTTACTATTACATAGTGTTAAAATTATCGATTTTGGTAACAGAATTACCGGAAATTGAAGTCGGTAAAGAGTTTCAATTCATATATCCTGAAAACGCGGTTAATACAAAAATTAGAAAAGGCAAAATCATAATGGAATCCGGTAAGTTTAATATTTATATATATATATATATATATATAAATGTATGTAATATAGTATAATATAAATAAACAAATAAAAATTGTAATTAAATAATAATAATAAAACATGTAAATACTTGCTATTTATTTTTCAGAAAGTGAGCAGCTATTGATATATGAAATGAATAAATTGTGTTCCTCTCAAAGTAAATCAAATAAGAAAGTAGTTAAGAATATGCATAATTTGTCAAAGCATAGTAAAAAAGAAAACAAAGAGGTAAAATTCTGTGACTCCTATTTTTCAAAAATAGTCTTAAATGAATAATAATTTTCTATTTTGTTTAATTTTACTTAAAATTAATTTCTTTCTGCATATTTTTATTAATCTAAATTATTTGACAATAATAATTTATAAATTATTATTTTTTGCTTATTTATTTAAAATTATTTACAATTTTTTATTTATTTACAATTATTTACAATTTATTTTTTATTTACGCAATTATTTACAATTTATTATTTATTTACAATTAATTACAATTTATTATTTATTTTCAATTATTTACAATTTATTATTTATTCACAATAATAATTTATAAATTATTGGTGTTACAGAAAACCGCAATAAATTTAAAACGAAAGGCAAACATGGAATTGGCTACGGAATTGATAGGTGATATAGAAAAAAAGAAAATTTGTGAAAATAATTCAATAAAAAATGTGAAAGAAGAAATTAATGAACTGCGTAACATAGGGTTATCCTTGTTAGACAAAATTGCAAGAATAAGCCAGGTAATGTTTTACTTTTCGTCGATGATTTAAATAAAATTTTGTAATTTAAAAAAATTAAAAATTAAAGTTTTCCACCAGGAAGTAAATTAAATTCATTTAATAAATTAAGAAGTAAATTAAATTCATTTAATAAATTATTTCATTAATAATAATATATTATTAATTCAAAGATTAATTATTTGCACTTACCTTAGATTTGTTGTATTAAAAAGTAAAATTACATTTTTATTAATTTTTATAGGCAATTGAGTCGATGGAAAATTATGGTACAAACTTGAATAACGAAAAACATGAAGAAATATCAGAATCTTCAAAAAATTTGAACATAAGAATGGACACACCAATTGATTTAGAAATAGAAGATATTAATGCAGTTGCAAATGATAATGATTCAATTCAAAATAATGAAAGTAAAACTAGTGACACAAATTCGTCGTTGGTTGATGATAGTCAGAAAATTACAGCAGATAATATCGAAAAAGGAAGTAAAAGTAAAATTTCTGACAAAAATTCGTCGTTAGTTGATGATAGTCAAGAAATAATAGTAGATAAAATCAAAAAAGAAAAATTATGGATGATGAAAGTGACAGCGAAAGAGTTTCAAGAAAATAAGGCAAATAATTCCTGATTTTATAATTAAAATAGGCATTTTTTATTTAATTTTTAATTTTAATTTCATTTGAGTAAAATAAAATTTATTCAATAACTATCTATCTGCAAATAAATTGCTAATCTATTAATTCAAAATATGTTATTTTTATATCAGCAAATATAATTCCTTTTATTTATTTATAAATTTGATTGATTCTTATCATTTAATTTATTATGTAGGCAGTCGAATTAGTCAAAGAAAGTGGAGTATTTATATTAAAAACGGATAGAAAAGCAGCTGAAAACAAGTCTACAAGTCCGACTAATCTTTATACATTTCAACAAAATTGCTACATATTCTAATGTTACTTATATGTACTATTGTGCTGAAATAATAAAAGTATTATAATTCAATAAATGTTTGCAAAGAATGCTAAATTGAATTTATTTAATTAAAAATAATTATTTTAGTGCATCAAAATAGATTTTCTTACCATAATTTTAAAATAATATACGAGAAAAAAATCCTCTCAAATGAAGACCTAAGAAATAATACCACACATACGAGGAAAATTGCATAAAATTTTGAAGAATACCCTGAAATATTAGTTAATGATAATCGGATAAACACTAGGCTCTTATACACTCAATTATATCATAAAAAAAATTCTGGCGTAACAGTTTTTTAAAACTTATTAAAAACTCCAAAAAAATACAATGTGGAATATTTTCAAAAATTCCGTACGGAAATTCTTTACGGAATTCCGTACGGAATCATTTACGGAATTCCGTATGGAATTCTTTACGGAATTTCCGTACGGAATTTCCGTAGAGCGGTTTCCGTAGAATCGTTTCACGTGGGAATTTGGAAATAATAAGACCTTACAGAAGTAATTTGGCCAGTATTTTATTTAGATATTTTTAAAAAATAATAATTTTAATGATATGGTGTAGATTTTTTAAGAAAATTTAATAAAAAAATATGTTTGAATTTTAAAAATTATTTTTCTGTTGAAAAGATTGTTTCAAATTTTTAAAAATTTTTTGGTCTAACTTTGACGACCTGCATTTTCAAAGAAAAAAATTATACGTTAATGACTATAAATAATCCTCATTCTGTAAAAAATGACCTTTAAAATAAGCTTAATATCATGAAATAGCGTTCATTACATTAGAAGTTATTCAAATTTTGGTAAAACATTGAAAATTATTATTTTTAGGGTTCCGTACACCTACGTTGTATCGGAGGAACCCTATTGGTGAGACTCTTGTGTCCGTAGCCAAATTGTGCCCCCCCCCTAGCAGCTAAACTATTTGACCTAAAGAGCTCAAATTTGGTCCAGATATGTATTTTCACTCGTAGATTACAGGAAAAATATAGCGCATGTGATTGGACGTGATGGTAATAGCGTTGTCAAGGAAATAAGAAAATGTTTGGCCAAAAATGCATAAAAAGTCACCATTCCCCCCCCCATTAACTTCTAAACTATTCGACATGGAGAGCTGAAATTTTGCAAATCGTTACTCGAGAGTTTTTGGGGTCGCTGATTACAAATCCGACGTCAGTTTTTCAAAATTAAAATAGAGGATCCAATATGGCGGATGTCAAAGATAAAATTAATTTAAATCACTTGCAAATCGTTACTCGGGGGTTTTTGGAGTTGCTGATTACAAATCCGATGTTAGTTTCTCAAAATTTAAAATGTCGGATCCAATATGGCTAGCCACAGTCGGCTAGAAGCCACGCAAAATCAGTCAAAACTAATATGATTATCTGATTTCTTTATACAAACTGATTAAGGGCTTTTAAACAAGTAATTAAAAACATCGGGGTGCTTTTTGATGTGAGTCCCCTCGCCTCTCACAAACAAGAGTAATATATAAAAACAAGTAATTAAAATCATCGGGGTTTTTCAATTAAATAATTCACGACTAAATCGACATTCTTTAATTCTTGAAGTTTTAGAAGTATCTCCCTTTTACTAAATTCCCCCATTTTTTTACATTTACAATCAACTTTTAACTAAACAACACAAAGAAGTTTAATAACTGTAAGAGATTTTACCATAAAGGAGAATACAAAACCAAAACTTTCTTTTAAATTCGAAATAATTAAATTAAATAATAATTAGACAATTCTCATATCTTTAAAACGTACTTTTATAATACTTTTATTAACTGCTCCAACAGAGAATATACAATAAAATGTGACGTTTCTATATGCAGAGAGAAATAAAAACAAAAGAAGGATAAATAAAACGAAAGAGCATCGACGTACGTAGACAAAAATTTGCCTTTGTAAAAAATGATATCTAAGGAAAAATTTATTGCCTTATTTGTATATAACTCCACCAAATTTTAAAATGGGCAAAAATGGGCAACTTTAATGAAAAGTACATTTAATTTAGAAGACTTTCCACGTTTAGTTTGTTTTATATCGCGTGGAAGTTAGAGGAACTCACAGATAATAACAAGTGCATTTCAAAAAAATTAACATTTTCCGACGTTAAAAGTGCTATATTTTTTAAAATATAGTATTTTTGAATTTATTATAAATATTTTTCATAACAATACATATCATTTAAAAGAAATAAAATTTAAAAGTAAGAAAAATAATCATTTATAGAAAAATAAATAAATATTTTAGTCAGCGGATAACTTAAAATTTTTTAATCAAACTTTTTAATGAACATACAACCACCGCTATAATATTTGATAAATAACTATAATATTCTACAAAAAGTTACATAAAATACTATAGGTTAAGATTATTATATCTAAAGTTTATAATTCTAAAGTGGACTTTTGACCGCTTTTTGATGCTTCCTGGCCCACTGTGCGATGTGTGTATGTGTGTGTGTACTGAAATTACATTTGCCTCAATATCTCAGAACGAGAAAGAGCTAAAGGCCTCAATTTTTTTTAAATTGTAGGTCTCCATGTGGGACATAAAATAAGAGTATTTTTATCCCGATTCATGAAGTTTAACTATTTTTTTGCATTTTTCATTTAGTAAAAAAACGTTTTTTAGACATAACTTAAAAAAATGTTAGGACACTTTTAAATCTTTTTCTTTAGTTTTGTAGAGTTTTTTCACACGCATCTTTTGAGGCCTAATTGAACATTTTTCGTCCATATTAACCGGAGATATTAAACTTTTAAAAATCAAAAATTTTGGAAAATAAGACTTTTTTAAAAAATTTTTTAAATATGTAGAAGTTTAGTTTTGTATTTAGTTTTGTAGAGTTTTTTCAGACGCATCTTTTGAGTCCCAATTGAACATTTTTTGTCCATATTAACCGAAGATAGTAAACTTTTAAAAATCTAAAATTTTGAAAAATAAGACTTATAAAATTTTTTTTTAATTATGTAAAAGTAACTTAAAAAAATTATTACCAACTTAAAGAGCATTAAAAAACGCTTCGATATACTTATTTTTGAACCTGATTCGGGCAGAAATTATGAAATTATTGGTATTTGAAAAATCAAAAATTGTGGAAATAGTACATTGTACAACTAGTGGCGAAAGTGTGATTTTTCGAGAGTGAAGTTTGCGGCTCGAGCGTAGCGAGAGCAGCAATCACTCGAGAAAAATCATTCTTTCACCACGAGTTGTGCACTACGTTTTCTCCAACGCCTTGCGAGGAAAGGTTTCTTCGTGAGTTTTGTATAATTTTAATTAAAAATGTTCTTATGTTTAATATAATAAAAGACGAATGTTTTGAGTGGGGAAGAAGTTAGATACAAAATAAATCTCGGTCAAAGAACAAGAAAAAAGAATAAATTCATGATTTACTTTCGCCACGCCAAATTTACTTTCGCCACGCTAAAAATTACTTTCGCCACGCTCTTCAGAGCAGTTGAAAAAAGTTCTACTTTCGCCACACTTTTCTACCAAGAAAAGTACTCCTTTCAGAGCAAGTGTTGGAGAAATATCATTTTTTCAACATTCTTGTTTATTAATTTATGTGTAATTATTAAACTATTATTACCATCTTATAGAATATATAAAAACACATTTTTTAGACCAAGATTTAATGTTTTTTAACCCTTTTATAAAAAGTAATTCTTATATTTCAATTATTATTATTTCTATGAGGAAGCAAAGTGTTCATGAAATGAACACCAAAATTATAAAAATGTACAACTTGGCAGCAGTTTTTCTTAATATGTCAATATTATATATTATTGTCTATAAAAAATTAATCTTGGTATTTGAAATAATTTTGTTAAAAAATTTTTTTTTTAAAAGTAAGTATAATAATAAATAATAATACATATAATAACAATAATAAATAAATAAATAATAAATATAATAGTAAACAATAAGAGTAATTGACATTTAATATTTTTGTTTCTCACGTTCATTCCTACTGTACCACGCAAACGGAGCAACCTGTTATGGTCCGCCATGTCCAACTTCTCATATTGAGCTACCCTGTAAAAAAAAAGAATTGGGTGGTCCGGGATTTCGAATTGGGATGTCGTTTCTTGAATTCGAGAAAACGACTTTTTCGAATTGGACTGATTTCTGAATTCAGAAATGTATGGTTCCGCGATCAACCCAATTCGACAGATATTTTAAAGATAAAAATAAAGAGTTTAACACTTCACTGGTCATTGAACAGTAGTTAATTGAGACGGTGCACGTTATTCACGTAGGTGAATACATTTCCCACATAGCACAATAGTATGAGGTAAGGTTATGTTGAATACTAATCGTAAGGCTCATAAGGTTACACGATATTGCTGTGGTAGACCTAAGGTGAATTAAAAACTTCCGCCATGGAGGTAAGGTTACTTGTTAGGGTGTGGTAAGTATATATGATAAGGCTATGGTAACCTTACACGTTAAGGTTGAGATAACTTTACACGTTAAGGTTGAGGTAACGTAACACGTTAAGGTTGAGGTAACATTACACGTTAAGGTTGAGTTAAGGTTAGATGTCAAGGTTGAGGTAAGGTAATTAATAAGTTGTAAGGTTAAGGTAAGGTTGTGATAAGTTTACCAGTTATGGAAAATATTGACAAAATAATTAATAATATAATAAATAAATATTAAATTAGAAAGTTAAGTTTGTTGCTCTTCTCTATTTTGGAAACCTGACATGAAGCAGAAAATTTTGAAAACAAATTTGGGGGGACTAGGATTTGAACCCGGGATCGACGCGCATAAACCTAACATCCTAACTAACTAAGCTAAGTGGAGAACTGGTAGCAAGAAAATTAATTTTGCCTTTAAGGAGTTAATCATATTCTTGCTTCACCTTAAAGGCAAAATTGATTTTCCTTCTGACAGTTCTGCACTTAGCTCAGTTAGTTAGAATGATTGGTTTATGCGCGTCGATCCCGGGTTCGAATCCCAGTCCCCCCAAATTTGTTTTCAAAATTTTCTGCTTCATGTCAGGTTTCCAAAATAGAGAAGAGCAACAAACTTAACTTTCTAATTTAATATTTATTTATTATATTATTAATTATTTTATCAATATTTTCCATAACTGGTAAACTTATCACAACCTTACCTTATCCTTACCTCAACCTTACAACTTAATAATTACCTTACCTCAACCTTAACGTGTAACGTTACCTCAACCTTAACGTGTAACGTTACCTCAACCTTAACGTGTAAGGTTACCTCAACCTTAACGTGTAAGGTTACATCAACCTTAACGTGTAAGGTTATCTCAACCTTAACGTGTAAGGTTACCATAGCCTTATCATATATACTTACCACACTCTAACATATAACCTTACCTCCATGGCGGAAGTTTTTAGTTCACGTTAGGTCTACCACAGCAATATCGTGTAACCTTATGAGCCTTACGATTAGTACTGAACATAACCTTACCTCATACTATTGTGCTATGTGGGTTCTTTAAGCAATAATGTTAATTTTCAATAAAATAGAGAGAATTAAAAATTTGATGTGGTCTTTGTTTACAATAGAAAAAGTTTTCTACTTTTAGGGTTATTAAAACAGCTTACTTACCGACAGCTGAGAAGTATTATAATAACAAATCAAATGATGATTTCTATACGAAAGTATCATTTACGTCGGTAATTGAATATTAATAAATTAATTTTAAATTTTTAAACAGATTAAAAATTTTTTATTAAGAATATTTAAAAAAAAATTTACAATAATTACTGTAATTAATATTTTCTTCAAAATATAATTATATGATTGTTATAAAAATAATAATTTTAAAACAATTTATTTGAATCAACAAAAAAATAATTTCTTTTCTTGATTTTCATAATTAAAACGTTTTTAAATTATTTATTCTTCAATTTTATAAATTAGGATTAAATTAAGTATAAGTAAATAATGTTAAAATATTTCGTTTATTTAAAATCTTGTTAAACAATTAAAATAACGTTTATATATAAATTTAAAAAAAATTTCTGCATAAAATGTTAATTCATAAATTTTCTCCTTCTGGTTCCTGTGACACTGAAGTTTTATAAAATTAAATTCTATTCAGTATGAAAAAAATATTTTATTTTAATACATTTCGATGACAACAATGATGCTCTCTTAAATATACTTAATATAGATGATTCCTAAATGTAAATATTCACAAGAGAAATAAAGAGTAAAGAAAAATAATTCTGCTTTAGCCTCATTTATTTTCATGATACAATTATTGTTATTTGCTCCATTTGAACTAAAGAGAAATTTATATTTAATTTAACATTTCTTGATTAACATAAAAAAATCAAATCAAGCTGTACAGTAAAGCCAATTCTTTTTAAAAAATAAGCTTTTGTTAATCAAATTTAAAAAAAATTATGGAGACTAAAATGAGCACCAAAGTTGAAATCGAAATGTCCTAGAACAACAAACCTTCACGGAAGTAAATTTCTTTTCATTATTTATTCAGAAACAAAACTAAAAATGTTGAAAGAAAAATTCCTCGTAAAGTAAAATAGACTTTTTTAAAACTTGCATAGCAAACTTGTTGACTTTTAAATACATTTAAAAAACAAAAATTTAAAATTAATTTATTAATATTCAATTACCGACGTAAATGATACTTTCGTATAGAAATCATCATTTGATTTGTTATCATAATACTTCTCAGCTGTCGGTAAGTAAGCTGTTTTAATAACCCTAAAAGTAGAAAACTTTTTCTATTGTAAACAAAGACCACATCAAATTTTTAATTCTCTCTATTTTATTGAAAATTAACATTATTGCTTAAAGAAATGTATTCACCTACGTGAATAACGTGCACCGTCTCAATTAACTACTGTTCAATGTCCAGTGAAGTGTTAAACTCTTTATTTTCATCTTTAAAATATCTGTCGAATTGGGTTGATCGCGGAACCATACATTTCTGAATTCAGAAATCAGTCCAATTCGAAAAAGTCGTTTTCTCGAATTCAAGAAACGACATCCCAATTCGAAATCCCGGACCACCCAATTCTTTTTTTACAGGGTATCGGTTTGATATGTTTCGTAAAACGCGGATTGATATTTACGCCCATAGAAACATCTAATCGTCATAAGAAAGCTTGTTTTATATTCTCTATTAAATATTATTTTTTCCTAAATCGACCTTTTTTCATTTTCTGTATGGATTTTTAAAAATTAATTATCAAAGTCAAAAATTACACCAAAAGAGGGGAAGTTTTCGACTTTGATAATTAATTTTTAAAAATTTAGACAGAAAATGAAAAAAAGGGCGATTTAAGGAAAAATAATATTTAATAGAGAATATAATTCAAACTTACTTATGACGATTAGATGTTTCTAGGAGCGTAAATATGAATCCGCGTTTTACAAAACAAAGCAACAGCTCGATGTAGGACATGGCCGACCATAACAGGTTGCACCGTTTTCGTGATGAAAGTGTTTACGCTATGGTAGTGTAGGGACGTAGATGATCAACAAAAATAATAAGTCATTACTTCTATTATTTAACTAGCCAAATTATCCGCGCGCGGGAATGTTGTATTGCAATGTTTATTGTAAACCATTTCAAACCATTTTAATTTATGTAATTTTTAAAGAAATACTTATTATGACACATAACTAAAAAACTAATAATTAGAATTAAATTTTCAAATTATATTATATTTTTAAACTTTAAAGTACATAAAAAAAATTTAACAAATTTTGATACTAATTTTAAATTTTACATCAGATTTTCAAAATTGAAAACTTCTTGTACGAGGTAAATTGAATTTCGAAAAAATTGATATTAGTAGTAGAGCTAGGCGGGTTCTGGCCCAGTTACCGACCGTCGGTAAGGTAGATTTCCTAATAGCTCACTTTCAGATGGGTTAGAAGGGATGTTCTGTTTTACCGACCGAGTTTTTAGTACCGGCTGCCACCGCTAGATGGCGCCACTTTATTTTTTGTTCAATTTAAACCCCCTTAGAGGGGTATTAAAATTTTTATTTTTGAATTTTCAAGTGGGTTAGAAGGGATGTTCTGTTTTACCGACATCTATGTTCAGGCTGCCACCGAGAGATGGCGCCACATGTGAATTCTGACCCCCTTGGCGGGAAATTTAAATTTTTTATTTTCAAACTTTCAAGTGGGTTAGAAGGGATAATTTTAAATTTCGCGCCACATGTGAATTTGAACTTCCTTGGCGGGATATTTAAATTTTATTTTAATAATTTTAATCCTGTTTGTGTTAGGTGATTTTAAATTTCGCGCCTAAATTTCATGATTTCAAACCCCTTGGCAGGATATTTTTAATTTTTATTTAATAATTTCAAGTCTATTGGTGGTTAATTATTTTAGGCAGCCACTAACAGATGGCGCTACTATCAATTAGAAAATAACACTAAAATCTTTTAATTTAGTCTGCAACTATTAGATAAAACCATTTGTTTTTAATTGTTTAAATTTTTTTTTTAGAAATTAAACTTTTTGAATTTTCCCGCCAATAAGTTTGGCCCTTAATCTGCTACATGTGATAGAACTCTTATGATTGGAAAAATTGAAATGTATAGTTACTCAAATGGAAAATGAATTTTCCTAGATTTTCAATAATACAAAGTTGGTAGCAGCAAACAGTGAATAATACTCCTCTGTATATTCTTTCTCTATTGGACCTCTTCCTGAGAGCACGTGGATTAAATCTAAAAATTTTCATCAGTGCAAATAGAGGTTAGTTTTATTTAAAATATTAATTATTGTTTTTAATATTTAGTTATTACATAAATAATAATTATATATTATATTAAAAAAAAAATTTATTATTATATTTTATAATTAATAATTATTTATGTAATAATACATATTTATTTTCCCATTAAATATTCATGTGTTCTTATAATAAACCATTTCTTTTTCTTTTCTAAGAAATTCAAAAATGATAAGATTTTGCGGGCGATGTTGCTTTTGCTTATACATGGCATCAAATCCTTTTGTAAGTACTATTCTTCATTATACATTTGTTAAGAAAAATTATTATTAACCCCTATTTTATTATCTAACAATTAAATTACTTTCTATTGTTTCTCCTATTTTTTAAATCGCTTTAAAAATTAATTAATCTATTTTTTCTTATAGATGATGGGTGCATTCCAATGCACTAGAATGCAACCTCCACAAATTGAACCTGTTCACTTGCAACATCAACCTGTTCACTTGCAACAGCAACCCCGACCAGTGCACCATCAACCTGTTCACTTGCAACAGCAACCCCGACCAGTGCACCAACAACCTGTTCACTTGCGACAGCAACCCCGACAAGTGCACCAACAACAGCAACCAGTTCACTTGCAACAGCAACCCCGACAAGTGCACCAACAACAGCAACCAGTTCACTTGCAACAGCAACCCCGACAAGTGCACCAGCTACAGCAATTGCATCATCGACAGCCATTGCAAACTAAACAAGTCGACCAGGTAAATTATAAAAATTTAATTAAATATCAAATTTATTTACAATTAATTTACATCTTATTTACATTTTTTTATTTATTTACCATTAATGTACACTTTATTTACATTTTTTTTATATTTACAATTTATTTATTTCTTTACAATTTATCTACATTTTTATTGATTTATTTACATTTTTTTATATTTACAATTTATTTATTTCTTTACAATTTATCTACATTATATTTATTTACACTTTATCTACAATTTATTTATATCTTATTTACATTTTTTTTTAAATATTTATTTACACTTTATTTACACTTTATTTATTTACAATTAATTTACACTTTATTTACAATTTATTTATTTATTTACATCCTATTTATAATTTTTTTTATTTATTTTTACTTTTTACCTTTTTATCTGCGTTTAATTATTAATTTATTTAATTATAATTATTTTATACTTAAATTTGTAGGAAGAAAAAACGGACTCCAGTCGACAAAAAAACTCTAGATGGGGTCCAATAGAACCTTATGTTCCACCGTCCACATCATCATCATCAACAACAACAACAAATAATGAAGAAGAAATTTACATTCCAAAACCTATAAAAAAAGAAATAAAAATTGAAGATCAGCCCAGCTTACAAAAATCGTCTTCATCATCATCATTATCATCTTCTTCCTCAAGTTCATCGTCATCATCCTCCTCTAAAAGTTCAGCAACAGTGACAGAATTACCAATTTTAAAATCATTGCCTTCTGTTGAAGATTTGTTCTCTGCAGAAAAAATTTCAACGTCGATTAAACCTACGGAAAAAGTTCCAGGGTCTGTTAAACCCACGGAAAAAATTTCAACGTCGATTAAACCTACGGAAAAAGTTCCAGGGTCTGTTAAACCCACGGAAAAAATTTCAACGTCGATTAAACCTACGGAAAAAGTTTCAGGGTCTGTTAAACCCATGGAAAAAATTTCAACGTCGATTAAACCTACGGAAAAAGTTCCAGGGTCTGTTAAACCCACGGAAAAAATTTCAACGTCGATTAAACCTACGGAAAAAGTTCCAGGGTCTGTTAAACCCATGGAAGTAAAGCCTGCGAAAAATTCAGAGTCCAATGATGAAATTCAGAGTCCCTATGTTAGAAAAGTGACGAAACCTCAAACGGTAACTGGAAAAAGGAAGAGGTCTGAAAAGGAGAATAAGGATGATAATGAGAATAAGGAGAACAAGGATGATAAGAGTAAACAAAAAAAACCTAAAAAAATAGGTGATATGGAAGATTTTTATTTTGAACAATATAGAGTTTATTATTTAAAATATAAGTTAAAGAAAGGGCTGTCACAAGGAAAAAAAAATTTGATTTTGATTTTACTTTATTTTCATTATTTTTTATTTTCATTTTACTTTTATTTTCATTCGTTATTTTTATGTCAGTTCCTTACTTTTATAATTTAAACGTGAAACATGTTCGATTTTGATAGGAGAAACTTCTATTATATAAAATACAACTCAGTATTACGGTGGTTTTACAAATGTCTTCATTGTAAGAAATTGAAAGTAAAAATGTTGTATATTTTTTTAAAAAAATCTCTATTTCGTTATTTTTTATCACCAATATGAAATTGGTTGTATATTAAGAATATATATGTAAAAAAAAAGAATATTATTTTGAATAAAGTAAATGCTTCTTCTTTGTTTTAATTTTCAATTTATTTTTAAAATACATACTCTTTTCCATTGAAATTATTTTTAAATAATATACTTTGGAATGCAAATTCTATTATGTAGTGTGTGGAAAGAAGTTGTATAATTTTGTAGTTGATTTTACTATTTTTGACATAGTTAAAAATACTAGTTCAGTTGACTAAAAAAGTAGTTGAATTTCAAAAACAAAAAATTGATTTCCAATAAATTATTATAAATTTCTCATTAAAAAAGAAGAGAAAAATTATATTTATTAAAACAAAATTTATTTGTATAATTGACAAAATTTAACCTAAAATTAACTTATAATTTGATTAAATAAACAATTCAAACTTTATTTTTGAATATTTACCATAAATGCTAATGTGAATATTACTTACATAATAATAGAACCAAAATTGGTAGTAAATTAGTCCTTTTCTTTTACAGTGTTATTTAAAAAAAAACAATGATTATTAAAAGAAAAACAATATTCTAAATTCTTTAAAAATATTAAATTAAACATTAAAATATATTTTTAATCTAAAAATGAAGACGAAGTTTCAAAATTACTTTTTATCATACATAGTGCTGAAATTTAAAAATTGTAAATGCATATAATAAGAATAATTTTAAAGAATTTATAATATAAATCTTTGCAAATTAAATGTATGGAAGATTTGAAGTTCGCGCCAATACAAATAATAGTTACGGAGAACCGCCGCATAGAGATGCTGCTTTCACTACTGTAGCGATGCATAGTGGGGAGCGCCGTGGTGGGGATCGCCACAGTGAATGAGTGCGGTGCGCCAGCCACCACACTCATTCTACTTTCAGATTGCATCGTTGTAGGTTTCTCTTCCTTACAGGTCTCTTCCCTCCAGGTCTTTCTCTTCACTAGGTCTTTGTTTCTTTCTCTTCTCCAGGTCTTTCTTTCCTCCAGGTCTTTCTCTCCTCTAGGTCTTTGTTTCTTTCTCTTCTCCAGGTCTTTCTTTCCTCCAGGTCTTTCTCTCCTCAAGGTCTTTGTTTCTTTCTCTTCTCCAGGTCTTTCTTTCCTCCAGGTCTTTCTCTAAATTTTTTCTTTCTCTTCACCAGGTCTTTCTCTCTAAATTTTTTCTTTCTCTCCACCAGGTCTTTCACTCTAAATTTTTTCTTTCTTTCCTCCAGGTCTTTCTCTCTAAATTTTTTCTTTCTCTTCACCAGGTCTTTCTCTCTAAATTTTTTCTTTCTCTCCACCAGGTCTTTCTCTCTAAATTTTTTCTTTCTCTTCACCAGATCTTTCTCTCTAAATTTTTTCTTTCTCTCCACCAGGTCTTTCACTCAAAATTTTTTCTTTCCTTCAGGTCTTTCTCTCTAAATTTTTTCTTTCTCTTCGCCAGGTCTTTCTCTCTAAATTTTTTCTTTCTCTCCACCAAGTCTTTCACTCAAAATTTTTTCTTTCTTTCCTCCAGGTCTTTCTCTCTAAATTTTTTCTTTCTCTTCACCAGGTCTTTCTCTCTAAATTTTTTCTTTCTCTCCACCAGGTCTTTCTCTCTAAATTTTTTCTTTCTCTCCACCAGGTCTTTCTCTCTAAATTTTTTCTTTCTCTTCACCAGATCTTTCTCTCTAAATTTTTTCTTTCTCTCCACCAGGTCTTTCACTCAAAATTTTTTCTTTCCTCCAGGTCTTTCTCTCTAAATTTTTTCTTTCTCTTCACCAGGTCTTTCTCTCTTTCTCGTATAGATCTTGTTTCTCTTTCACTCTTACAGATCTTTTTTCTGTTTATTTTAATTTTTTGTTTCTAAAATTAATTTTATTCTTTATTAAAAAAAAATTTCTTTTCTTTTAGAAAAAAAATAATAATAATGAATCCATTTAATCCTCCATCCAATTGTTAAAATCAGCTAGAGGAAGAAGAAAATGAAATTAATATTTTTGACGATAGTAGTCATGATGAGGATGATGATGATGGTGATGATGATGCGTCCATGATCATAATTTATGATGAGTATGACCATAACAATTATGAGGATGACGACGACGACGACAACGATGACGACAACGATGACGGATACGACAGTGTGGGGGAGACAATCATCATTAGTGATGATGATGACGACGACCACGACGTTTTAATTATAGACATCGATCCGGAAGAAGTTAGTTGATACTTTTTATTCTATTTTAAATTAACTTAAAAAAAAAATATTACTTTCATTTAAATTAACTTTAACCATATTTTTAATTTTTTAGATGTCGGAGTATATTGAAGATTATCCTGAAAATTATTAAATTTTATTTTAAATAAAAAGAAATATTTTTTAAATTAAAGCATTAATTTTATTTCCTTAAATTTTAGCGCGCATGGTGTAAGCGCATATTAAGGTGGGGATAATTTGCGTGCGCAATCAAAAATGTAGTGGGGTTAGAGAAAGAGTGGGGATTGCAGCAATATAAGGCGAGTTTCAAAGCCACCAAGTCATTATTATTTCAGGTTCTTGAATTAGCAGTAAGTATAAACATTAATCTATTTTCTAAGTTCCTTTTTTCAGCTTGATTTTCTAAGTTTCATTTTCAGCTTTATTTTCTAAGTTTCTTTTTCAGCTACATTTTTTCTAAGTTTCTTTTTCAGCTTTATTTTCTAAGTTCCTTTTTCAGCTTTATTATCTAAGTTTCTTTTTCAGCTACATTTTTTCTAAGTTTCTTTTTCAGCTTTATTTTCCAAGTTCCTTTTTCAGCTTTATTTTCTAAGTTTCTTTTTCAGCTACTCCGTAGGGCGTTTTGAAGGTTACCTGCCGACGAAGCCGCTAGCGGAATTGATGAAAGATGGACTGTACTACGTCTCAAAGATGAAGAAGGTCCAGACCAAATATGGACCAAGGATCATTGTCGAAATTGATGCTGATTTCGTCACATACTTACCAACAAGATTCATCAAGCTCTTTGAGGATGAACCCACCACCTTGGACATGATGAAAGAAGCTGCGATATCGAAGAAACTTCAAATGAAGTATCTTGGAGGACCGTATAATGTTGTTGAATAATATTATTTTTCAGAATTAGAATAATTTTTATTTTCAGAATTTATAAAAGAATTTAAATTAAATTTTAAAGGAAAGGTTGTTTTTGAAATTAAGAAGCATTGTTTCAAATTAATAACATTTATTTTTGATAACTTAATAACTAAATTTTACAAAAAAGATTCACAATTTTCATAGAAAGATTTTAAAGTAGAGTCAACTTCATCAATTCCATTAGAAATAGCACTTATATATTGGTTTGGTGGTTCCAAAAACCAATCGTTTTGCTTAGAACAATCAATAACAATTAGAGGAAATAGACTTTTAAAAATATCCTTTGTTAAAATAGGTTTTGAATCTTTACCATAATAGGATGATTGAAAATTAGCGTACATTTCATAAAGTAGAGAGTACTGATTTTGATCAAAGTTTAGATTTAAATTTCCATAAGGATAATATTGTGAGTTTAAAAAGAGTTTAACATTTATAATATTACAATGGTCAAAATGACAGGCATATTTTTTTCGTTTATCTTTCCTCGCTGTTTGAAATCCAACAATAACATAACGAGGTTTCTCTAATTGCGTTGATGTTTTAATTTGCCACAAAACTTTTGAACTTGTAGGAATCAAAGGATACTCATACATTTCCCACGACCTAAAACTTATTGAAATTAATGGATCCTTTTCAATATATTTTAACAATTTAACTTTGTTATTGTCAGAAGGTAAAACGTATGGAACCATCCATTCAAGTTTATTGATAGAAATTTTGAATTCCTCATCCCCTCCTTGTCCTGTTTGAATTACGGCATTCACGTCAGAACGTGCTCTTGTTAAAATAAGTTCATGTTTATCGTTCATAATGATTTTTTTATAATCTTCAGCAAAACCAAAAATCATGTTGAGTGGTATTGTGACATCAAAATAACCATTTTCCAAAGTAAGTCTTGCATCAGCTGCAATTTTTGAATATCCAGCATTTTCAATAAAATTTAGCTGATTTGATGTTTGCGAGGTGTAATTTTTCATGATTGTAGTATGTCCAACGTATTTGCAGCGATCAATTTCAATACCATTTAGTTCATAGCGAATTTCATCAAACAAAAAACATACAGCATTATTACTTAAATGTACGTTTTGTGTAAGAGTAATTCCATCATTTTTAGTTAATCTACCAAAAATGTGTAATGAACTTTTACTAGGTAAAATGCACAAGTCTTGATGTTGTACTGCGATTCGAATTTCATCGCTATTGTTAAAAGATGAAGATGCGTATGGTTGATCAGCATGAATTTCATAATGAGCTATTGACTCATCAAAATTCACTGCTGCTGGAATATTGAGAGTTCGTCCATTTTTATTGCAACAGCAACCAAAAAATATGTAAATTAATTGTCTTGTTGTCTTATTTTCTTTCCTTGAACTTTTAGACCTAGTTCTTGCAGAAAGAGGCGATTCTGAGGTGTTAACACCTTGTGAGATAAATTTAGACTGATTGGATTCTTGCATGTTGTCTGACTTTTATAGTTTCCACCAACAACAGCTCTTTGATTATAAACGATTCCCATTACAAAGACTTTATATGCAATCGAATTGTTATAGTTTCTCCTCTAAAATTGATTAAATCACCGTCCTGATCAAAAATTCGCAGCTGTATATTATGTATTGTCTTGGTGACAATCGGAAGGTAAATGACGTGTGCAGGCACTTCCACAATCTTATATCCTGGTGGAACGCTGGGGAAGAATTCATGGATAGTGTGAACTTTTTGGTTATTTATATACGCTCCAGATGTGATATTTCACTCAATTCTAACTGAATTAACCTTTAAAATGGCTACAGGTAAATCAGAATTATGTGCTCTATGAGATGATAGTTTCTGTGATGTAAATCCCAACAACTTACCAATAGAATCTTTAGGTTTAAAATCAATTGGTAAATTAGATTCAACAATACTGCGTAATGTATTATTATTAGGTTTTATACTAATAACAGTTCCAGTTTTTACAGAATTTTGTAAATATGATTCAATATCTTTAATTTCATAACTTCCAGTTGGAATATCAATTACTTGATTTCCAACGTAAAACTTGTTATTTCCTTTATCAATATTGGGAATTGAATTAAAAGTCAATAGTTCAACAAGACCAAGTACATAACTTTTATTTGAATTTAGTTCTATTGGAGGGAAATATTCAGCTCCCAGAACTGAAGAATTTCCTGTTAACGTTAAAGTAAACGAATCACTCATGTTGCTGTCAGATTTTATACTGAAAGCTTACAGGTGTTACATAGTCTTATAAAGGTTAAAACAACTCTTAATATTTAGTTGATTACACAAAAATTTGAGACACAAGTGTCCACATACAAATGTATCATAATTTTGATATCTTTTATGATTATATTTTATTAAGCTACCATCACCCAAGTAAATGACAAGATCTGTTGGTGGAGCAAGGTTGCCAAAACTATCAAAATACATTGTTTCGTTTTTGAATTTTTTATATGCTACCCAATGTGTTCCAGCACCTTCTTTATTATCAAGATTAATTATTCCCGATTCATACTTGCAAGGACCACTTACAGGTAGTTCATTTCGCATAAAAATACCACGAAAATGAGGTATTTTGGCAGCTTTGGCATACTTCAACAGATCAAAGTCAGTTAATGGACGGTGAGGTAGCTTCAAAACAAGTTTTTTGTTTTCCTTCTTGTTGTTCTCTTTTTTCTTGATGCTCGTTTCTTCTTCTTTCTTGATGCTCGTTTTTTAATTCCTTTTCCTTGAATGTAGGGTTTCAAGTGGAGACCAAGTCCTTGTGGATAAGGTTTAAGGTGTAATCCCTTTCCAAGTGATATGGCTTCCATGGATCTATTGTGACGTTGAGCTTCTGCGAGTTGTTCACTAGCTGTTTTAGCCTTATTAACAGCCCTTGCTATTCCTGAAGCACCACCAGCAAGTGCTCCTAAAGCACTAAGTCCAGCAAAAATTGGAACTAGCGGTAAAATTCCACCTACTTTAGTAGGTACAGGAAGAATTCTAGGTGATAAAATTTTGGATTTACCACCAACATTTTTTATTGCTTTTCGTGCACCAACTATAGCTGCTCGAATTGATTCTTCAACATTATTACCAGGAGCCATACTTTTTCGTGCAGCATCAACAATTTTTCTTAGCGCTATTTGCTTCTTCTTACACATTGTTTTACTCTTTTTCTTCTTTATAGATGATTTTCTTCTTCTTCTCATTCCCATGCCTAACTTTGATTTAGCTTTCATGGTTCCGGATATAGCTAAAGCAGCTGCTCTTTCACTTACACCAGAATCTTTAGCTGTAACACGTTCCCAAGCTCTCTTAGCTAATACTTTATCTGCTTCGTTTCTAGCTTGAATATTTTCACGATTTTGCGAATAAGCAATGTCGTGTTGTTTACATGCAGCGTCCAGTGGATTAATTCCTTGGTCACCTCGTGACAAACGCTTAGCCAACTTTGTACCAGGCCCACAGAATTGGTATCCTGGTAAATGTAACTCAAACGGTAAACTATTGATGATACGATTAATTATACCTTTTCCTTGATAGCGTTCTTTTTTCACCTCCTGATGCAGAATCATACTTCACTCTACAATGGTTGACGTGAAACTGACAAATTGACTATAAAAGCTAGGTATTTATAGATTTTCGAGCAGTTACTGTCAAGATGCAGTTCACGAAACAACCTGTCGCACTGCCAATCTCTAGTATAGATGTTGAAACTAATGAAAAAAAGATTAAACGTCACGGTAGTCTGTTTTCAGACAGCATTCGTGCAGTTTTCTGTGGCCCCTCAAATTGTGGTAAAACAAATGCTCTTCTTTCCCTAATAATACATCCAAATGGTCTAAGTTTTGAAAATATTTACCTCTACTCTAAATCTCTACAGCAACCGAAATATAAATTTTTAGAAAATGTAATCAGTCAGGTAGATGGTGTTGAGTATTTTCCATTTAGTGAACATGAAGAAGTAGTATCTCCAAAAGATGCTAAAGCAAATTCAATATTCGTTTTTAATGACATTGCTTGTGAAAAGCAAGATAATGTTAGAGCTTTCTTTTGTATGGGCAGACATGTAAACGTTGACAGTTTCTATTTATGTCAAACGTATGCTCGTATTCCTAAACATCTAGTTCGAGATAATGTTAATTTATTGGTTCTATTTAGACAAGATGAAAAGAATCTGAAACATGTATACGAAGATCATGTTAATACAAATATGAGTTATACTCAATTTCGCGATTTATGTTCAGAATGTTGGAAATTGGACAAATATGGATTTGTTGTTATTGATAAGGACCGTAATTTTAATGAAGGAAGATATAGAAGAGGATTTGATTGCTTCATTTCACTATAAATACAAGAAGTTCATTGAATTTTTCATTAGTATAGTTTATCTTGTCTCGAAGAAAACATGTATCGAAAAGAGCAAGAAACGCTTCGTCAAATAGCAAAAGCAAGTGATGCTATTAGGCGGAAACATCGTTTACTCAAAATGGGTAAAGAGGCTGCAGAAACAGTATTGAAAGAAACTTTTCAACCAATAGTAACACCTCTGGAAAAGTTGGTGAACATAACTGACATACCTTTCAAAAATATTAAGAAAGAAAAAGTTAAAAAGGAGGAAAATGATTTTTCTTTCTCAACTGCTGTTGATGAGGAAGAGGAATTTGATAAAACACTACTCAATGACAGTCTATTTGATAAGAGCAACAAGTTTGAAGAAGAACGAGAAGAACTTAATTATGAAAATTTGACAAATAAATTTATTCAATTATTGAATAAAAACAAAAAAATTTTTTAGACATGGTTTATGAAGTACGTAAGCTTCCTAATGGTTCTTTTATTATTGGTGATACACCAGTTGATTAAGAAGGTTCACATATTCAACTTGCTGGAAAGAAAAAATATTTAAAAACTGCTGGGTTGCTTGAACTTTTATTTCGACAAGAACCTAATCATGCATTAATAAGTTCAGATGATTTGGAAAA